GTGTCAGGTGCTGCTGGCTGGGTGCTGGCAGACTTGTACCTGGCACAGGCACCGTAGCCAGACCGTGGCCCTTTAAGGACTCCGGGGCCGGGAGGGGGGGTAGAAGAGTTTCCCTGGTGGTGCCCAGAATGGCCACCGGGGCAAGCTGGGAAGGGCTAGCCTCCCACTAGTTCGAATTAAGTGGCTACACAGCCCTTAATTCAAACTCCTTAATTAGAACTAGGCGTTAGTCCTTGTAGAATGAGGTTTACCTAGTTCGAATTAAGTGCTCCGCTAGTTCGAATTAAGTTCCAACTAGCGGTTTGTATGTGTTTGTAGCGCCTATGAAAGTTAATTCGAACTAATGGCTGTTAGTTCGAATTAACTTTGTAGTGTAGACATACCCTAAGTTCTAGAATAGATTACCTAGGACAGGGGGTTTCAAACTTGGGTCATGGCTTGTAAGGGCAAGCCATTCTGGCTGCGAGGTGCTTTGTTTACCTGCGCTTCTGCAGGAACGGGTGATCATAACTCCCACTGGCTGCTGATCACTGTTCCTGGCCAGTTGGAGCTATGGGAAATGGTGCGGACTAGAACATCGCGTCCCACCGCTCCTATTGGCTGAGAACAGCGATCCGCAGCCAATGGGAGCTGTGATCACCCATATCTGTGGAGGCACAGGTAAATAAAGCATCTTATGGCCAGATAGTGACTTGCCCTTATAAACCGCAACCCAGAGTTTGAAATCCCCGGACCGAGGGAGGTTGTGTTGGAAGTTTTTAAGAACAGGTTAGACAAACACACATCAGGGCTAATCTTGGGCGACCACTGCAGGTGGATAGACTAGATGACCTCTTGAGGTCCCTTCCAGCCCTATGTTTACATGTTTCTATGATTCTGTCCTTTCAGTCCCATGGATGAGTAAACCTGCAAAGCCAACGGATATGATCAGGCTATAATACAATAGGAAAAGCTGCTACCAAATTCACCAGCCTTGACTTCCCCTTGTCTTCGACCTCATCTGCAGTACTGATTTGCTTCTATTTCAGTCACTGGTGGTGCTGCACAAGTGTGAGTCCTGACTGTAGAAAAGCAAACCTAGTAGAGGTTGAACCTCTCTAATCCAGCAGTCTTTCTGGTCTGGCAACATCCGCGGTCCGGCATGATTTTAGCTAGTCAGATGTCCCATTATTGCAGGTGTGGCCAAGTTTCCCACGGTCCCATAAAGTTTGTTGTTAGCCACCAGCCCTGGTTTGCAGTATTCTGTGATATTATATAGCTCTAAATTATTCCTAAGTGTCTTCTAAGAGCCCAGAGCAGTGGAAGGGCTGGTAATGCTGCTAAACGTATGTACTTATTATGCTTTATCTACTTATTTCCTTGTGCAGATACAGTAAAATTGTGCAACACTAACACTTTGTGACGAAGAGAGCTGATAAGCCTTGGCTAAGCGTAGGCTTATATAGGGTGTATCAGTACAATCGTACATTATTAAGCAACATTGCAAGAGCTGTTCCATTCATTTGCATCAGTGAAATAAAAATAAAGTGACCCCTTGTGGTTCGGCAAATTCTCTGGTTCTGCACCAGTCGGGTCCCACAGGTGCCAGACTAGAGAGGTTCAACCTGAACTTGCACAGATGCCGTGAACCCCTGCTTCACACCAGGAGATGTTGGAAATGGCAGTTTATAGTGGTCTACACCAGGGGGTTGTATTGGTGAAACTCACCAACGGCTGAAAGTGGAGCAATTCCCTACTGCAGACAAGACCTGACAGAGGCAACCCACCGGGACACATGTAAGCCACAAATTAGCAGCTGTCATTAATCATTTCCATTCAGACTGTAGAAACCCGATGAACTAGTCCGGCAGGAAGCCGGGCTGTTTGCATGACTGCATTTACTGTAAGGGGGGGGGCGGGAAAGGAGCAAGGAATGTGACCTGCAGGATTCCGAAGTCATGTGACCACCGTCCCAATCTAGCAAAATGTGTCTGGAGTTACAGGGAGGTAGCTTCAGGCAAGGAGCAAACTGCAGCAGCTGCCCGGGAGCCCCTCCCCCATCGCACCGAACTGAGGAGCTGATGTATTTCAAGGGGAAACGTGCGACGTGTGTTCCCGGGGCAACGCCACATGCCCCACCGCCTTACCCCTTGTGTCATCCCGTGCAGCTGTGCAAAAAGGGAGCGAAACACTCGGACGCGGCAGCACTTCACACGCGCTTTGCACAAATGTAAATGCCCACCCCAGGTGTGGGAAGGCGACAGCGGTCTGGCCCTCTCTATCTGAAAGGGGCTGAGGGAAGAAGATTCCCCCCTCTAACCTCCCAAGAACTCTGGGATTCTCTAAGCCAGTGGTCCCCAACGCGGTGCCCGCGGGTGCAATGGCGCCTGCCGGGGCATTTATGTACACCCACCGAAACATCTGGGCTGGCCCTGCCCCCGGCGCGCAGCACATGCGTGGTGCCGGCCCTGGGCTCGTGGCGCATGTGCGGCCCCTGCCCCGGGCGCACGGCTCATGCGT